TAGGGAAAGCTTGTGGCAGTCTTTCACGTGGTCTGTATCTTGTGGGGAAAAAACAGTTTCTAGAAAAGATCAGTTGAACTGTAAACACTGCATCCTGATAAGTCTTCCATATAGTCATATAATTATGATTTCTTTTACTTTCTTCAGATTTTCCTTGAAGTCCAGATAAGAATGCAAGCAACAATAAAGTGAAAAAGCTGTGCAGCTGAAGAAGCGTCTTTCTACTTGCTGAAAATGTCTCTTATTTTTTGACAACGATTAAAGGACAATGGGGTCAAACACACTTGGGAAGGCTGCAACATTAGATGAGCTTTTGAACACTTGTATTGAAATGTTTGGTACGCTTTTTCAATATTTAACTTTTCTGTTCTTGAAATTCATCTTATAATTTAACCCCTGCTCTTCTCTGATTTAGCCAGTCTTTCCCTTGGCAAACAACATTTCTATTCTGTAAAATTTTCCGTGTTTCGTTTTGGCCCAGAATCACATGGGCTGGAATTTTAATCAGATGCACACTGTATTAAATTTTGTTAATACAGAAAATGCACAATGGTGGGTATAGTGGTTTTTAAAATGCAGTCCTTCACCAAGAGAACTGTTTAGTTGAATTGTTCAAGGAGTTATTTCTGGCATTGATCTTTGTCTTGAATGGTTACACAGCTGCACTTCTGACCAGTCATTTTTTGAAAGGTTTTCCAAATCATCATGCAGTAATTGGCAAGAATATGACTTAAGGCTCATGTAATATTTTTACTCTTATTAAAATGTGATGTACCGGGTTTGAGGGAAAGAAGTGATGAAATAGACCTTGATCCATAACGCCATTAATCATGACATATGTCACATTGCAATCAGATGAGTTCATGGATGGACTTAAATGTTTTGAAATGGGGCCTTAATTCACAAAGCTACATTTAGATTCTCTTGAAATGCAGGACAGCTTTAGATTGGAACAAGATATTGATTTTTTTTTTTCCCCCCTTGTGGAGAGAAACAGGTATCTAAAGGTGAGAGAGATGAAATAATTAAGGGGCAGATCTTGCTACTAAGTGTAGTGCATCCCTATATATCCATGTTTGTAGACCGCTATCAAACCTGATGTTCTAAATACCTAATGAGAGGTAGCAGAGCCCATATACTTGTTTTCTGTTGGAAATAATACATTTCTTCCTGGTATACACACTCTTGACAAGTGTAGTCCATGTGTTGTTCCCGTTTCATACATGCATATCATCTGCAGTCTTTTAAAAGAGTGACAGAGAAAGAATAATCTAAGATTGCAGATGTTGGGGAACACTGCCAGGGAATAACTCCTTGTGTAGACTCAGCAGCTACATTGCAAAGGCACCAGGGTCTGTACAGCAGCTGGAGAAGGGACCCTGGGACACAGACGTGAGGTGCTGCTTTGACATTGAACTCTTTGAGGCAGATCCCTTTTTTAACAATCTAATTGTTAACATGAAGCTATAAAGCTGCAATAAAACAAATATTGGAAGTGGTTGTACATAAATCATCTCCCCACCCTTTTGATAGGCTAATTTTTGATTTGTTCTTTGGATTATTGGCAGTCTCTTTGTATAACCTTTAGCATACTGCTATCCATACCCTGTTTTTCTAGCTATGGCCTGTAATTTACACTGATTTTTAATTTTTTTTTTACCTACCACTACAATCTATCAGTAGTTATCACTAAATGACCATTTGTGTGCTTTCGTTTTGTTTCCTACCTCTTTGGTAGAAAATGACCAAACATTTCCACTTTTGATCCTTTCTCTCTGACTCCGCTTGAAGAATAAAAGCTCCTCTCTATTCATGAATAATGTGGTTAACTCACTTGTTTCTCTTTTGCAGATGACAAAGGAAATCAGTGCTCCAGCCATTTGCCAAGAACCTTTCTTTTAATGCACCGGTGGTATCTGCCTTCCACAGAGCTGGCTGGCAAGCTTCTGTCCACATATCCTTTTAGCAAGTCTTGCAAATAGACATTCCAATGTCAAAAGCAGGGTTTTTTTCTGTGACTGCATGTAAAAATGTGTCAATTAATTAATGACAAAGAAGGTTTAGGGGTGAGATTTTTTTCAGCCTAAAAGGTGGAAGTCTGTAAGCGTAGTTGTGCTATTGGTTGTGGACTTTTTCCATACGTACAAGTTTGCTGAGGCATACTTTGAATTAACTTTGAGTAAATGGAAATATAATGCCAAGATAACTTTTCAAAAGCGTAATGGACGGCTGGCCTTGGACTAGTATGAACTTTCAGTGGTAGCTAAGCACCTACATGTCATTTATACCTCTTAAAGCCTTCAGTAATCAGAAGCATTATCGTATTTGGTTATCCAGAGCTGGCAAGAAACTGTTCAGCAGAATATTCAGAATAGTACAATAGAGTAATTTTTGCTAGGGCAAAAAAAAAAAAAAAGTGGCAGCCAGGAAATGGTCTGTGTCCCCTAAGATGCTGTGAAAGTGAATGAAATATCAGAGCATACTGTGGTTATCTCTAGAAGAAAAGTTTGATACTCTTTTTTTATTCAGCTGGTCTAGCATCAGAGTCTTATATGGATAAAAACATCATTACTGAATTAAGGCACACAAAACTTTCTTTAACTAGCCTACATATAGAGATGCCAATGGGGAGAATTGCAATGAATTCAGATTAAAAATCTGCTATTTCATGAGGTAAGCGTGCTTCTGGTACTCTAGCATTTTGTTTTTAGGCTTCTGTGAATACTATAAATGCAATGTCTTTTTGTAAAGATTAAAATTAAACATGGAAATATAAAGCTTTTCTTTTTTTTTAATTTGCTCTCCAGTCCATAGTGAAGAGTGAATTTCTGTGCTTTGAAAACAATTGTTTACGTTGAGCCATCCAGCCTTTAAGACTCAACTGTATTGACCTAAAAAGCTGATTGAAAATTGCTCTGTAATTTACCTGGTGTTTGAGTGTGACACCTCTAGGAGGGAGACTAGTTCAGTGCCACACAGCAGAGACACATTTTGCTTCAAGATGTAATCTAGTGTGATAGAGGAAGATTGTCTCTGGGCTGTCGACTTCAGTTCACGCAATACCTACATAGCTTATGATGACAGGAGTGTGTTAGTGATGCCAAAGCTATTACAGGTCGGGTATGTTCTGATCTTCACACCAACTGTGTCTGACCTTGTTTTTATGGAAAAGCTCTCATTAAATAGCAGAGGAGACATCTCATTTACATGGTTGTCATGGTAGAACTGCCACTCAAATTCACATTTTCATTTGAAATGAAGAATCACATTTCAATTAAAATTTTAATTTTCCTTGAAAAATATTTTCTGAGTAGACCCAAATGTCTCACTTGGACAAGGGATAACTGCGAGTGTCATTTGGGTGTCCTGGAAGTGTGAGTCAGGACACGTGTGTGCTTTTTTGTGTGTGTTGCCTGAGGCACCACTTTAATGTCACTTTTCAAAAGGGTGCTGCTGTAGTGAGTTAACCAAAGGAAATTATATGATAAAGTGGCTTTTGCCACTTCAGTGTCACAGATAATCACAGCAGCAACAAGTTGGGGTAGTGCACCCTCTCTGCCCAAAGACCAGTGTGTCTGAAATATTGTAAGTCCTTTAGAATAAAATGAAGGTACATATATGCAGCCACTGAATGTTACACCTGAATCCCTGGGCTTCTCTTAACCACTGTCTGTGGATTTCAGATACTGGATTTTGGAATTTCCTGCAGAGTTTAACTTGGATCTTGGGCTGATTCGTTTGACGGAAGAGTTTCGAGAAGTAGCCAGCCAGCTGGGATATGAGGATCACATCCGTCTCATTGACATCTCCAGCATGTAAGGATGTTATGAGCTTCAATATCTTTCTGTCTGCCTCTGTAACAGCAGAATTCTAGTTCTGTGCAAAATATAAAACTATTAAGGGCCATCTTGATCTTGAGAGAGCAAAAAAGCAGTTACAAAAAGATTGTATTGTCTTCTAAATTTGAAGTTACTGAAAATTTGAAATTCTAGTTGTATTGTCACAATAAAAAGAAGATTCTTATCTGTATGTAAGTTTTTAATAAAAATGGGAAGGAGGTAATTTTCCTGACAAAGCTAGTGCCAATTATGTGTTTAATATTACTTTTTTCCTATAATTTTTTTATACAGAATGACAAGCAATGCAGTGACTGGCATGTTGTGTAAATCTTGCATTTTCTCAGGGAAGCTTTTTTGTTCTCTCATCAGTAACTTGTTAATTTTTTCTAATGGCTTTCTGTGTACTTCTTTTCTGTGTTTTAACTGGATAATCTCTACCATTCACATTTGTTTTATTGCATCAAAATGATTACACTACTATTTCCTTGACACGCTGAAATGAAAGTTACCTTTTAAATATCACCAGGCCAACTCTTATATCTCACCTGATATTGTAGATTTTCTTTTAAAATATAGCATATGCATAGTGATTTTTCCTTATTAAAAAATGCCATAGTAACCTGGAAGGACTGCACTACTAATCTCAATGAAGGTTGCAAGACTTCCTGCAAGAACAGTACCCATGAAATCACAAGAATATTGTCTCTTAAATCATCATTTTAAAATATTGTTAGCAACCTCTTTCTGCTCTCTGAAGTGCTTTTACTATATATGAGTAGGAATTATTCCACTGCTTGCAAGCAAACAATTTGCCTTTTTGTCCACTCACTTCTTACTGTTTTATTAGCTCTTTGACTGACTGTTTCTGCTGTTCTGTTATTTCATGGACCTATAGTCTTACAGAGTAAAAATTAATCCTTGATGTTATTCAAGTCTTTTTTATTCTGTATCAGAATTTGATGTGACCTGTTCTTCTTGTATTTCCAAGGCATTTTTAAATTATGGCTTCCTGTATCATAAAGAAGAGCACGTTGTCCTTTTCTTCTGATAGAAACCTGCTATTACTTATCATTTGCAGTAGTACCTCCAAAACTCTTGTCTTCTGTTACGCACCTGAATGGGTCTCACTCTGAGTGTTTGTTATGTGCTGGATGTCACAGATCAGAAAGCTCATGGTCTGCCTCTTGGTAGTTTTATACTATTTGTTCAAACCATGGGCTACACTCACATATACCCAAACAGAAATGAGAATTGTACCTGTTTTTCTGTTGCAGTCCTTCCTATGACTGGATGAGAAGAGTTACACAGAGGAAGAGGATTTCCAAGAAGGGAAAAGCCTGCCTGCTGTTTGACCATCTGGAGCCCATTGAGCTAGCTGAACATCTCACTTTTCTGGAGCATAAATCTTTTAGGAGAATTTCTGTAAGAAGCCTACAACTTTGTCACTTGCAATTAGGAGCCTGTCCTTAAAGAGTGTTCACGTGGTTTAACATTTAAGACTTTGTTCCCTTAACATTTCAGTGTAGTAAATCTTTATAATCCTTCCTATGATGTACATAGCCATGGCTGCACTAGCACTTCCTTGATTTTTTTCATGACTGATGCTTTTAGTGATAGAAGTTAATTTGGTGGAGAAATTCTGGGCAAAAATTACTGCTAAAAGCTAATGCAGCCTTGTGTTGCAGCAGTTGATTAAACTAATATTATTGTTCAAAATCTTCAGGTGTTTTTTCTTTTTTTTTTCCCCTCTGTGGAAAATAGTTACTTACTTTTCAGGAAACATCAAAATCTTTGCACTGAATAATTTTTGAAGAGACTGAAATACATATAATCCCTCTGTAGTCTCCATGCACTCCCAACCACTTCTTCAGAAACTTTCATTTGCCAACTTAAGATCAGAAGATAATTCAGGTTGGAAGGGATCTCAGGAGGCATCTAGACCAAGCTTCTGCCCAAAGCAGGATCAGCTTTGAGATAGATCATGTTCCTTAGGTTCTCATCCAGTTGGGTCTTGAAAACCTGCAAGAACAGAGACTGCATAACTTCTCTTTCCTCCTTCTCCTATATTGGCACTGAGGAAAATTCAGATACAGTTGCTCCCTTTCACACAGAAAAATATATGAAGTTTTTTGTTTGTTTCAAGAGAGGAAGGAAAAAGAGATCAATGAGGAGCTGAGACCAGTCTGAATAGAACTGCTTTGACGTAATTTAATAACGTTCAAAGGTTTATTACTCTAGACTTCAAATCATGGGAAAACACCCTGCTGTGATCTGTGCAATGCTAACCTCAAAGAAGGAGAGAGGGACAAAAAAATAGGGATGGATTTCTAACTTGACTTAAGATATATTTTAATTCCTTTGGGAATTCCAGAAAGAAAACTCAGACCTGCAATGAATTTTCTTTTTACCTTGCTGTTTCTAATTTGTCTCTTAGTTCTTCAGCTTGAATTTTTCTCTCTCAGATGTTTCTCCGCAACCAGTTAGAGTTAATTAATCTTATCCTATCCTGTAATGCAATGAAGAGGTTTGAAAGATGTGTTGCTTGTTTATATCAGACTGGTAACTAAAAATTGTAAGAATGGTACATTTCCAGGAAATAAAGTGATGGGCACACCTCAAAACAGGCCCAGTATCACTAATCTAATTTAAAGAACAATTGAGAGCTGCTACAGAGAAACAACTAGCATTTATTTGGAGATGTCAATGAGACCAGGTGATTTGTTGTAAACTGTTCAGAAATGTGAGAGTGTCACTTATTTTTGCACCATAGATGAAAGTGTTATCTCAAAGCTGTGCAGTTGTAAAAGATTATTAGTCTGAATCCTGCCTTTGGTTTTACCTATTTTAAAAAATATGAGGGAGAAGGAAAGGCAGTGTTAACTATAACAGAAGACATTTAAAAGTATCTGAACACTGAGATACTGTTTATCTGCAGCTCTGAGATGAGCATCTGCTGTGTAAGAGCATATGCCATCTTATGGTCTTCTAGCAGACAATTTTTGATCAGCTAAAACCAAGAAATCCATGTCGGCTGGCATTGCTATCAATTCCCTGCACAAGCTAAAGTTATTTCATAAGATTTTGAAAATCCGTCTTAAAGGGACAGCTGAAAAATGTTTTCCAAACATTTAGGGACATCTAATTCCTGGGAGCAGTAGCTCTTCCTACGTACATGAACATGCAGGGGCTGAACAGTAACGTGGAAAGAAGCAAGACTTAGCAGAAGTAGCTCCTTGTGCTACAGAATTTTTTTGACATAGGAGGAAGAAAATGGGTGCATAGTTAGCTGCTTGGGGTGCAGTTCAAGCTCCTGTGAAGAGTGACAGAGCTCTTAGTGATTTCAGTGGGGCCAAGATTTCCCCCTTTACATCAGCAATGTAGTTGGTCAGGATATTGGAGTGGGATGAAAGCCTTTATTATAAACAGTGCTTCTTGCTTGTAGCACCAGATAATTCCTATAGAGTATCATGCCATGAGGATGTCAAGTAAAACTACACAGAATAAAATGTTGTAAGTGTTGAGTAAATTATGGGAAAGATGATTCCATGGAAGTAGTAATCATGTTCATCACTCAAGCTGCTGTTATTACCTGACATACAAAGACTGAAGTTTTAAGTTGACATTTAAGTAATAAAAAACCCACCACCAACAACAGAATTTTAAGAAAGAACTGATATGCAGCAGGGTCTGCTAATCCTGAGTCTTGGTAACTTTCTAAACAAGAGGAGCTTTAAAAGGAAAAAATTATCAAAGCTTCAATCTGATGCTTAAGTTGTCCACCATTTTACTGAAAATGCCTTTCCTCTGTTAGTTCACAGACTACCAAAGCTATGTGATCCATGGCTGCTTGGAGAACAATCCTACTTTGGAGAGATCTATTGCTTTATTTAATGGTATCTCCAAATGGGTCCAGCTCATGGTTCTCAGCAAACCAACACCCCAGCAAAGGGCAGAAGTAATCACAAAGTTTATCAATGTTGCACAGGTAAGTCTTGCATATGAGCCTTTTTCCTCCAGCATAAAGCAATAATACAAATACAGATTGCAATAAACAAATGGACTGGATGCTCTTTGTGCTGTTTCCTCAGTGAATAGCTGTTCACCATCACTGCAGGTTATTTGTTCAGGTGTGCTATGTCTGCATTTTTTAACTAGCAGACATAACTATAGAATAATCTTTCTTCGTTGTATTCTGGTTGACAATTGTCACTATTGCATGTTTCTTGTTTAAGCTAATTAAAAAAAGAAATGCCGAACCATTCTGTTATGTCCCCTGGTTTAGTGATTTCTGCTTTAGCAGTGATAGGTTGTTTCCTTTTGCGTGTCATGTGTGACACTGGATAGCTGCCACATGTTTTTCCTTGATTTTTAATTACACATGATCAATCTCTCCTGCAGAAGCTCCTTCACCTCCAGAACTTCAACACACTGATGGCAGTTGTGGGAGGTCTAAGCCACAGCTCTATTTCTCGCCTGAAAGAAACTCATTCTCATCTGTCTTCAGAAGTCACAAAGGTATGGTAGACTTCAGAATATAGACATATTGAGCAGAACATCACCTCTTTGAGGCCTGATGGGCTCTGCAGTGCAGGTGTCCCAGCAGCACAATAATTGGATCGTGGCAGGGCATCATTAAAAGGCACTTTGCTTGCATTCCTCTCAGTGGAGAAGGATCAGCTCATGGAGATCCTCTGCTTGATCACCTGTGCCAGAGAGGAAATTAACGCTGTCGGCACCCTGACATGAGTTGTGCTCATTTAAAACAGATTAAGGAAATGCTATGAATGCTTTCACAGAGACTTGCTTCTCTGGCTATTTGTAGGACTGGAACGAAATGACAGAGCTGGTCTCTTCCAATGGAAATTACTGCAACTACCGCAAGGCTTTTGCTGACTGTGTTGGCTTCAAAATTCCTATTTTAGGAGTTCATTTGAAAGACTTGATTGCTGTTCATGTCATTTTTCCTGACTGGATAGATGAGAACAAAGTTAACATAGTGAAAATGCAGCAGCTTTCCATCACCTTGAGTGAACTGGTTTCCCTGCAAACGGCCTCTCATCATTTAGAGCCTAATATGGATTTAATTAACCTGCTAACTGTAAGTATTGAACATGTTTCAATTCAATTCTGTTATTCAGATGTTGGATGTCAGTAGGAGTATTTGTATCTATAGAGATAAATGTGCATTGTTATCCCAGTTTTGTAAAAGAAAAGGGAGAGAATACAAAACAGAAACAAGTTCACATGAGGTGTGAATAAAGCCAAAGAGAGTTTCATTACTGTAGTATGTGATGGCTGAAAGCAGCAACAGGTTTATTATCAATTAATTATTTTAAGGATGACAGAAAGAGGGCTGTATTTGTCTTAGGAAAAGTAAAAACTAAGTTCTGACTTCTTAGAATTGAGGCAAAGATTGGGTGACAGGTTGACATGGACATACAGGTGAAATTCCAGCTTGGGCATGACTCTATTCTCGCTCCCCTGTGCTTTGTATGTGATACTTCCTATCTAGTAAATAAAAGTGCTCTTGAATGGTGTTAAGCAACACCTGCTCTTTCCCCTCTCCTTCCCCCTTGGCAGTGGCTACATTTGGGGAGGTTTGAAACTTGCGCACACAAATTACAGATTAGGATTTGAATGTCCCATGTCAAACCAAAGGAAAGTGAGATTGCAAAAAGACTGAATAAAACATGTTTTTTTTAAAAAGCTGTAACTGAAAATGCTAAAAGGAATTAATTTTCAGTCCCCTTTTTGATATGTAGACAATGAATGTAGTTTTAACAAATATTACACTCTATTTCAAAACATACTGAAGAGTGGAGCCTGAACCATCAGGCCAAATGCTGTTTTTATTGAAATGTAGTCATTTTAGGACTGATCTCAACTGCAACAGAGTTTGACCAGCACCATAGCTTGTTCAGGTCATCGGCAAAACCCAGTATCTTGGAATTAAAGATAGGACCTGTGAAACTTGGAAAAAAAAGCATGTTGTTTGTTATAAAACAGTTGATGTTGCAAACAAATAAAAGTCACCTACTCACCTGAGAGTAGTCTGAAACATGTAAAGGTCGGTAAAGGACTCTCTTGATATGTAATCATTTTATGCTGTTTCTGTTCTTGTTATTTGACTTAGTCTTTCAGATCTCTAATCTGGACTGAAGGAGAATCTCTTTCTCTCCTTAACTCAATAGAATTCTTTTAAAAATAAACGTAGAACTAAACAAGGTCTCTATGTAAATAGGACAAATTTGAGAATTTTTACAGTGTTTATTTTGTTGGGTAGCATGAACTCTGAGACCACGTTTTTCTTCAAATTCTTCTTTTCTTTTAGATGACAGAAAAAAA